TATCATAAATTTCATAAAATTAAAACAAATTTTTAAATAAAATTGACTTATTTCGACTATTTAATTCTCGACATTATACAAGAGAGTTATCGAAAATTTTGATAGGGAGTGATGCATAATAATCTTGTTTTCATGATGACCAATTTTAATTTCTGCGAATTATGAATTTTCTCATTAATCACGAATCTCTTTCGCAATCGACGAATGTAAATACGCAGTCTTCTTACGGCACCTCGAAGTTTGCCACCCTAAACACAGTAAGCTCTTGAGCTACAATAGCGTCGAACAATGGGCGCACGGATTAAGATGTAAATTAGTTCATAAGTCACAACATTATGCAATTGTCAGCTGTTGTGAGATACCTATTGTTATGCCAATAAACTTTAAAAATTCGAGCACCGTGTTGCAAATCGAAATAGATTACGAGATTATCAATATTTTCTGGTACTATGCTACTCTCATTTCGCCGTTGAACTATCAAATGTTAATGCTTTAATCTCTAATTTCAGAATTAGGAAATTGTTCAAACATAAATGTTTATTAAAGTTGTAATTCATGTTAGAGACTTAAAAGAAAGTAAATTCACCTGTTAAAAGTTTCAAACTTATTGAAAGGCGAATTTTGAACAAAAAATAAATAGTAATTTGTTAATATATGTTGTTAGTAATTTTATACGTATGTATCAATCATCTCGTGTTATAAAAGTGATGATATTAAAACTTCGTTTGATAGTGTTAAACCTTGACATGGTGAGATCAAGCATCTCTGATTTTCAGTTACACAGACAAAATATCTGAAAAATAATTTGAATTGAAGTAGAAATGTACAATAAATTCCCCCTAATTGACTCTCAGCTTGGAAATAAAAATGATTATTCGAGCTTTATGGCTCGCTTTTATAGTTGTTGACAATCGGTAACTATAAAAACGAGGCGCAAGGCTCGAATAATCGTATCTCCTCTTCCCTAATTGGGTTTGGTTTGTCTCGTCTAATAAAAATTATAAGATTGCGTTTCAATACGTCATTTCAATACATTGTACGTTTAGTGTGGAAGAGATTCAAAGTAGTTACCGAGGTTTGAATTACAAAATTAAAATACAATATACATATGTCCTACTATTCCGTTCATAAAACTATAATATATGTATAAAGATGACGGCAAACATTATATTTTACGATATTAATATTTCTTACATTTACTACTTCCGTTTCAAGCACAATCTCTACGTATGAATTTCTTAAATATTAAAACTATCTATAGATATATTGCATTCCTTCGGCAAACTGTTCAAATCGTTTATGAGAAATATCGTTATCTAAAAATAAATTTATAGATTGTACGGTCTCTTACGCCGTAGTCAGTTGAAGATTGACAAACTTGAACCATAATTTGAACTATTATAACTATATATAACTATTATAACTATATATAACTTGAACTATTTTCGTGTCACACGAAATACGTCAACGTGTAGCCATCGAAAACAACGTCAGTTTGAATCAGTACCGACTGCGAGTTCGTCCAATAATCGATTTTGTGTATTCGTTTCTACAGTTACTACTCTTTCCGTTCAGTTTACAGTACTATCCACAATACGATTATTGTATGAATCGTACATACTTTGTATCTTGTATAAATATAAAACGTATGCATGCACTTTTTTTTGTTTTTGAAAATGAACAAATTTTTCAATTTACTAAAATTTATACAATAACAATCACTCTTCGATATTTTGCATAATTTCAATATTTTCAAATTTATTGCATACCAATCAAGAATGCAAGAAATATTCAGATTAATTTTTTTAGACTACAATTTTTTGATTACGTGCTGTTTTCTTCGTACAACAATTTCTGACTATTTTGTTTGTGTTTAATTTATTCCATGCTTGTGTAAAAATATGTATAGTAAATTACACAGTGAAACTTTTGTTTCGTACAAATTACGAAAATATTGAGTTCATAAGACAAATTATGTAGAAACGTATGTACATATTATTTATTCAGATTTTTATAATTGGCATGGCACATAGTAGCTGGTGCACTGATAATAGAATAAAAAACGATATAGAGGAAAAATATGAAAAGAAGATAACAGCGGTGGTGGCGATTGAACCATTTGTGCTCGAAATCGCGAATTCAATGAACGATTTGGAGCGTTTGTCATATGTTGTGTTACGATCGCAATTTAATACAGCGTCTTTCTATTGTCTCTCAAAACAACCCGCAGAAGAACGTTGTTATTACATACAGGAATAATAAATATTTACGATAAGCAATAACTTCTAATACCGTAATTAACTACTTTATTAGATCTTACATTATTACAAATTGCGCGATGGCAAAAGCTGAAGAATTCTGTAAACCATACAACTATAATGCATTCTCAGTGAAGAAGATAATATCCAGGTTAGTTGATTCTTTCTTAACCTGGACAGGAAATTGGAAAATATAAATATGACAGTATATGTATCTGTATAACAAAATACGTATAAATATAATTCAATAAATACCTTTATCATTTGTAAGTTTAACATAGGTTAACATATTTCTATGTTAAAATATTATCGAAATTAGTAAACATAAAAACATTGTATGTTACCACATCGATTTTGTAATTGTACAATTGAATAATTAATTTATTATCGATTCTTTATTGCAGAAGAACTTCAATTACCCTAACACTCAGTTATCTGAATTGTTTGTCATCCAACCATGAACAACACAATTTATTGCAAATCATTAACATTTTAATCTAATAAGGTAGATAATTATTACTGTCCTGAAACTAGTTTGAATAACTGAATAACTGAATAACACAATCTTAAAATTTTAACATTTATTTGCATTGTCAAAAAAAATTGCAACAATGATTACAGCTGGATAACATGTATATCTATTACGTTAGCTTGAATGGGGTTGAAAGTGACCGTTACATGGGGTGCCGTTAGTTTAGTTCAAAAACCCGTCGCTACGTTGCGTCCTGACAGATCTCGTTTCTCGCTTCTAAAACTGTTACCTCGTTGTAAGAAATATCGTGCAGTCGGGTTTGAAAGCATACTTACCTGGCGTAGAGGTTACCGTGATCATGAAGGCGGTTCCTCCAGGGTGAGGCTCTCCCATTGCACTACGGTTGAGCTGACCCCTGCGAATATCCCTAATGTGGATATCTCGGACGTAAAATTTTTGTTAGTCGGGACTGCGTTCGCGCTCTCCCGGATAAATAATTATTAAACATAATTAAATAGTTCCTTAGTTATTTTTAAAGATATACGTTAAATTACTACATACAAAAACACCGAGTTTTATTTCGATGTTTTCTTTTTACTGTTTTCAATAACTACGTACTTACGCAATTTTAATATAATTTGAAGTTTTTACTCTGACATGACAATTAAAGGCAATTTTTAAGCATTTCTTATAAACAAAGGAAAATGTTGTTAGCAAATAGGATATATACTGCGGTGCTAATGTTACTACCGTTGTGCGTATGCTACAATATTTTTGTCAAATCATTATTAGTGCAGTAAATCCATTTTCACCTTTCGTACAATGAAATTTTTTATAGACACAAATACATAATACCAAGCATATTAAAAAATGATAATTTCATGTTCCAATATCTTAAAAGAATAATAGTATATGATTTTATATATTTCACAAAGCGTAAACATATCACTAATATTTTTGGAAAACTGATTAAACAGGTATTCGTGAAGCTTATTTTTGAATGTCTAATCATGTTTAGTATAATTAATTATTGATAAGTCTATTGTAACTTAATAAATAAAATATTAATGCTACTTAAACAGAAAAATAAATTGGGGAGCGACCTTTGGTGCAATTATTTGTTGGTAATTTAACGTATGTATATAATTATAGCCAATAGTCAAAGATACACCTCTGAAATCCCAATTAATTTATCTCAATTTTATGCTTATTGCAATTGATTTCACTACAGCCAACGTTTCCAAAGGAGTTGTGAAACCAATGTAGCAGGATTTACGACGCTGTGAAATTTTTTAATGAATTTGCAGTATTTGGGATCATTAATAATGAATGGCAGTTTATTTTTGTCATATTTATATTTTATTGGTAAATGTGTATTTGAAAATCAAAGTTTGGGAAAGGTTTACTTTCAAAAATTAATATAAGCTAGGATACTCATGGAATATAAAAAGTATGTAAGAAAGTATGCAGACTGTATGTATATGTATGTATATTTCGAAAACATCTGTTTATAATGAAGTTCCGGCACAAAAAATTTCCCGGGAGAAAACGTTGTTGCGGTCAGTCAAGAGAAGTTCTTTCTTTAAAACTCGGATTTTAAAGGAGCTGGTAATTTTAATTTTAACCGAGAGAATATGTTAAAATAGCGTCTATTGTCTGGGGATATAATGCAAATAGATTACAAGCAAAGTATATCAAAAATTCGTTAAACAAAATGTAATTCTAGTCTATTTAGAATATTGCCATCAGTTAATATTATTGTATGCAACAATACATTCTATAGATGCTTATAAAATATAATATATTTTAATTCATATTTTAAATAAAATGTTGAAGAATGTAACTATAATTAAAATATACAACAACAAAATATACAGTCTAATTAAAACACTTCACTTCTTCTTTATCTTCTTCTTTATCAATATATATTTGTTTTACTATTTGCAGTTATGTATATAGGAATGGAAAGGATTTCAATAGCTAATCAGTATTTTAGTAGGTCAGGGATGAAAAATAAATTTTATTAGAAGGATAGCTACTAGTGTACTCAATTTTAAATAATTTGATTTGATGGTATAATAAAAAGTAGATATAGATTTTAAGATCTTTTTATCCAAACGTGATATCTAGCTGTATTTACGCACATAAATGCTACAGCCTGTACAGTAGTTCTAAAAATTGCCGCTAGAGTGCGTCATCGTTGAAGAAGTTTCTCGCTTTTAAAAGTGTACAGCGAAGACCTCAAGTTACGTTAGCGAGGGAATGAAAGCATACTTACCTGGCGTAGAGGTTACCGTGATCATAAAGGCGGTTACTCCAGGGTGAGGCTCAACCATTGCACTAGGGTTGAGAATGACCCCTGCGAATATCCCTAATGTGGATATCTCGGACGTACAATTTTTGGTAGTCGGGACTGCGTTCGCGCTATCCCGGACAATTCAATTTATAATATTAAATTCCTTATTCTTTAGTATTTCTTTAAACTTTAAATTTTGAAAAATATTCTAGTTCTTATTATATTTTTACAATTTGCTGATAATAAGAAAATCAACAGGTAGAATATTTTTATTATTTTTCGTGTTCATTTACCGATGGTTTTTCAAATATCATTAGAAAGTAAGTACATTTAGTGTAGGCATAATTTTTGAGCGAGTTTTATAAATATCATTTACACTGGCGGTTGCTTTTCAAAGAAATCAGATTGCCTTATAACATCTTAAAACATACATCTTTTGTTAGTCATCAAGCAAGAACGCAGGAGGATTTTGTAGGAAGTGTTTTTAGGAAGATGAAATAATTTATTACGTTTGCTATATAATCTAAGAATAAATAATTTTTTATATCTTTGTAATCTTGTGTTTTTGTTTTTATATGTATTTTTTTAATTGTGTTCTCGATAGTATTTTATAGTTTTATATTTTGATCCTCAAGAACTTCGTTGGATAAGTTACTAATAAGCACATGTACATTTTTTGTTGTCTCACTGCATGGAAAAATAATTTATATGTAGTTCAAATGAGAACTAGACAGACTACGTTAACGACCTGGACAGTGAATACACGCGTTTCAAAATCAAAATTTTCGACCGTAATATCAAATCTAATATGATACTTATGATACTTTCTTTATTACTAAATTCAAAGATTACAAATTTGTAAATAATTTCAATACTAAGTATATAATTTATAAGAATAAAAAAAAACTGAATACATATGAAAGTACTTATCAAATGCCATGAGTTTAAAAATAATTGCAACAAATTCCTTCAAAACACTACGCAGAAAGCCTTAGCTGAGCGTCTTAATATGGATTTTTATTTTTTTTTCCATTTTGAGCAAACATGAGTTAATTAAACCAACACGAATTTGAAGTTTAATTATGCCACCAATGAATGTGTAAGAATTCATGGAGGTATTTTTTGGTACCCTTTTTAAAACTCTAATAAAAATTAGTAAAAGTTAAACATACGAAATTAGGAAAAAATTTAGATTATTTAAAACAAAAATTTTGTATTTGGAAGGTCTTATAATACTAAACATAGCCTGTAGAAATCAAATTTAGAAACCAAATGCAGTAAATTCTTCCTAATAGTCCCGCAGTTTGGAATAAAAAATGAACAACTTAGCCAAACCGGACGCGATTCTCCGAGTCTCGCGACTCGCCTTTGTAGTTACCGACATCTTGTGTGTGAGGGGGGGGGGGGGGGGGGGGGAANNNGGGGGGGGGGGGGGGGGGGGGGGGGGAGAATCGGGGCAGTCGGCAAACTTAAAAACTATTGGCCAGCATATCGGTGTACATTAATACGAATACACAATAATGTTAGAATGAAAAGAATGTCTTAACTTCTTTATTTCTAATGTTTTATGTATGAAAATTTTTTTAACATATTGTGATCAGATTCTTCCAATTAACATGAAACCAAACTCGATACGCTTTAGATCATATTTATTCAATTATGTACATCGTGATAGCGGCACTACTACTTTTTAAAATATTAACTATTTATGTTTTTAATCTCTACATAAATGTACATAATAAACTATTACTCGGTAATATTTCTCACACATATTAAAAACATTTTGTATACATATAATATTCTATTTTCATGATTCGGTTTAGTAGAAGTTATATTTAAAGATTTGATTTTACGATCACGAAGTTGCTCCACAATTTTAGCGGTTCAATCAAAAATTTAAATGTAACTTGCTTTATATTATAACTTACTGGATCAGCAACGAGAATAGTTCCCAAACTCGCCGTTGTATAGCGCAATCAGGAAACAAGTTTCTCGCTGCAACAGTTGTGCGCTACAAGCTTAAGTAGACCCGCGGAGAGGAAAAAAGCATACTTACCTGGCGTAGAGGTTACCGTGATCATAAAGGCGGTTACTCCAGGGTGAGGCTCAACCATTGCACTAGGGTTGAGAATGACCCCTGCGAATATCCCTAATGTGGATATCTCGGACGTAAAATTTTTGTTAGTCGGGACTGCGTTCGCGCTATCCCGGAACAATTAATTTATAAAGTTAATTAGATAATAGACATATGTATTTTTAACTAAATAATTTTACAGTTTCATACGAATATTAATTAAATGTAGCAAATTTGTAGCTGAACCATCTTAATGAAATATTTGACCACCGAAATTAGTCAAACTAATTTGAAACCTTATAAAATTTGGTTAAATTTGAAATTTTATTTAATTTTCATGCATGCACACAAGAGTTTCAACAACAAGGAATCGAATAGCGTGGAGTTTTTTCTTTTGATAATTAAGTGAAAACTAGTTAAAAAATTAATTTACATTTTTTGAATGATACATATAGATGAAAATATTCGAGCGATAACACTAAATCTTATCGGAACCATAATAGAATCTGACGTGTGTCGCTTTATAACGATAAAAAAACTGTATTTATTTAGGCCTTTTGCCATTTTTATTCTAATGCCTGATTGAATTAAGTAATTTATTCGAACCATTGACTTAATTTTGCTCGTCTCGGTCGGTTTACTGTTACGTGGGTAAAAGACGCATTTTCGAATAAGTATAAGAGAGCCATATAGCCATATATATAAGTAAGAAAGTATTTGTTTAAACGAAACATATCTGAATTACATTGCTTTCGTAATCACCGGCACATGTAAATCTAAATGTGTGGAAAAGTCAACGGAGACGAAATTTAAAGAGCCTCGTGCGATGTAAGAAGTGCTGTAAGTTTTTAGATAGAATGGCGATTAGAAGGTTGCGAAGCTATTAGGAGCAGAGCAAATGCGACGGTCTCTAGTTAAACAATACAGGAAGCGCATGGCACCTATATGAGAGGCTGTCTGGCATTTCCGTATGTCAGGCGCTGAAGACGTGTTAGAAGTTAACAGGCCAGACGGGCTGGCTTAGCGATAGTTGATGCAAGTGTGGGGTGGCCAGCAGGACGAAGGAAAGGAATTAAACAGACACCGAGTCCTCGCAAATTGAGTTGAACGGGTCTGGAATTTAAACATTCAAATTAACCTGTTTAGCAAGTCGGAAAGGTTAGTGTGCTCGTTGGTTTTGCATGCCCTCAGATTTCTAATATTCAATCGATATTACCGCATCTTCTGCAGGCATTTTTTTCTCCTCTGCTGGAACTTAAATTTTGAACGCACTTCATAGGCCATTGCACTGTGCTCCGTCTGTAGGACAAAAATAGAAACATCCATTTTTTGTTGTGGTGCTAATGGTCTTCACAGACGGTTTGGTGTGTGGATAGGTATTACATAATATTAAAGAAAAGGTTTCTAAAGACGTAGACGAGACCTGATCAAAATGGTACGCGCACCTTGTTGACATTTTGATTCACATTCGAATTTGTTGGAATTTTTATATCATGGAGAAGGTACTAATTTATATTCTTAACGGATTGTTTGGAGTGAATATTTGTATTTTATTCTTTTGAAATGCTGTTATTACTGTGTTGAATAATTCTTATCGATTTAAAAGCGATTGGCTTCTCAATTTTCCAATTGCTTATACATGAAAAAGTCTGAAAGAAGAGCAGAATCAATGACGAATAAATGTCGTCTTACTGTATAATAAAGTCTTTTATTATCTCTATCTGTAGTTTCAAAATGCAAATGTTCCGTAAGATCCTGATTCAATAGATTGCGATTATCCGCGATCTCGATCACCTAGTGCAAATATGGACAGCAAGTAATGAAACGAGCACGAGCGCTCGCGACAGCTTGGGAGTACAACTATGAGCTCCTGTTATGGGCACGGATTCGGTTAAAGTTGAAAGCGGAGAGGCTACATCCCATTCCTTAGTTTCTTGAGATCAAACAGCTGACAATGAGTTACACTCATTGTCAGACATCGTATCCCCACCATTCATTCACACGATCCCGTCTCTACAACGCCTTTCCCACCAACCAGCTCGCAAACAAGAGTGATGTACGACCTACTCGTACGAGCAAGTTCGTGTCTATACCTGATCCAACGTACCGATTACTGCGACACTCAGATTGTACTTTCTCTGTTCAAATGGATTTAACGACACTTTTTGATACAAACGTCTGTTTAAAATCAGTTACACGTGAATGATGGCGCGAAAGTAAGAAAACGTATCAGACGAGGATCACGCCATGTAATATTATTATGATTTTAATGTTTACACGTAATATTACAGCACACCAAAGAAAGCTATTAATCTCTTACCTTACGATTTATTTTAAAGGAAATTATATCGCAATTTTTTTTTAACGTGCACACAGTTATTCCGATTTAAAACGTTGAACTTGTGTACAAAAATATGAAGACTAATTTATCAATAACTGAAGATGTAATGATTAAATATTCTAAATATGTTGTATTTAGAGAATAATTGCAGAGAATGGAAGATAAAGAAATATTCAGCAGTATAACATTTTTGAAAAGGCATTGCTCGGTATTTTTTACGTCCTTCATTATAAATTCTGCTAGATTCTGCTAGAAATGGGATTAGTACAAGTTGATCAAAATGATTTACGATACAAAATTTAAAGTTTGTGGAGCTATTGAATGACACTACTGTATTTCACAATTCATGTCGTGAAGTAAGCTATATATTCAAAATAAAGAAGAACCATCTGTATCCCAAATAATTAATGTTTTATTATAATCCGAAAACATGACACTTCTTTTGAATAATCATATATTTTAACATTTAAAAATTGTAAACACTTTTTTACGCTAACTGGGATTGTTAACCAACAGTCTGTATGTCTGTTGTATTTTTCAACGGGTAATAGTTTTTAGAAAGGTCTGAAAAAATTTATGTAACATCTTTAAAGATGTCTGCACTCGCAGTGCTATTGGAAATCCCTATTCAATAACATTACTTAGGCGAGGTATAACAAAGTTTTCTACCTAAGGGGCCAATTTGAAAACTGGTCTTATTTTGGGGGTAACAGTTCACTAAG